ACTTCTATACAACGAAAGGAGACTGCGACCATACAAAAGGCCACACCATCTTGGTCTTCATACCTACGATCGTTCTACTAAGTTGTCCTGACAACGAGGTCAACCCACTTTTGTAAATCGACAGGAGACTGCGACCATACCAGAGGCCGTAACATCTTGGTCTTCATATCTTCAATATCTAAGACGCTCACTCCTATTTCTGCTCTCCTTTTGTGAGAGAATATTAAAAAAAGGTACAGCACAGAGCTAAGAAAAACTCGTCCTAATGAGAATGTTTTAAATACTAGAATAAAAAACCATTTACTTTCGTTTGCTTACAATCCTTCAGCTTTTTAGACCAAAATGGCTAAATGAGAACTGCTTTAAGTAACCGTTTGAAGATGGCCCGCAAATGTCAACAGAGAAATGAGCCATTTGTATTTCGAGATGAGATGAAACACTGGGTTTTACTATGCACTAGCGAAACTATACTAGCTATATTTAATGGACAAAGACAAAAAGGCATACCCAAATATCTTTTAAGGACTGATCAGTTATTTTCATTTTTAAAAATATGACCAAAATAACATTGAGAACTTTTTTAAGTTTATTTTCCGCATTAAGTATTGGCTCGAGACTACCAGTTAATCAGTAATATGAGAGGTATTCACCCAATTTCGCTTAAGGTGATGAAGGCCTGGTAGAAGAAGAATTTTCCCACAATGATATGAGTTGAGCTGACGTTTTCATTGAATTTTACATAGCCTTGATTTCCCAAAAATTGTTCTCATCCCGGCTGGAGTGGACTGCAGTTTAGACCTCGCTTCGGTCTTATCAACACCCTCGATTCTACTCCCGCTGGGGGTGCTGATAAGACCGAACGAGGTCGAAACTGGAGTCCACTGGTGCCTGGATGAGAACAACTTTTGGGAAAGCAAGGCTATGTGAAATTCAATGGAAAACGTCAACCCAACTCATATGATTGTATGAAAATTCTTCTTCTACCAGTCCTTCATGACCTTAAACGAAATTGGGTGAATACATCTCATATTTTTTAAGTTTACTTGCGATTTATAAACGCTTCATGCGTTGTAGTGACTAGAGGTTGTATTTTTCCGAATTTGTCGAAAAAAAATCAAATTTCTTATTTATGATATGGAACTCTAATGGAATAAGCGAATTCCCTATGTCCAGACTTGACCAAAATAGTCTGGGTTGACAGAAGAGGGAGCTATGTGTGGCTGCGAAGGCCATAGTCAATCGTTCTTAGCGATGCGTTAGCAGCGCTTGTTACAAGGTCTTTACTCCATCGAATCAGGTAGCGCACGGGCCTGGGACTACAAGACAGGTTGTCTGACAATCTCAGACTGGAAGGAAATGTGGAAGCAGAGGCTGCAGAAGACTCACATGAGTGAGCTTATCAGTAAGAAAGTTAGGTGACCAATATGTATATTTTAGGAAAAACTGGCAGAGCAAACTAACTATACCCAAAACGTACACTAAGATCTTTTAGCTTCCCTTTCAGCTGCGTCGTCCTGGTGCGCTCAGACTCAAGGAGATCGTCAAAAGTGAGTATGGTCTCCTGGGCCGACTTCAACTGTCGAGAGAGGTCTACAACCTGTAATGAGAGGCAAGGAAAAAATGGGAGAAATTGGTTTGAGACAAATGAGAGATAGATAATAACGGATAACAGGGTGTAAAAGTGGAATCAGATAGCAAGGAAACAAACGAAATGTATATATTGAAACATGAAGTTCCATTTCGAATGAAAGTCATCACATTAAACGAAATATGATGAATATAGCTAATATTGGTAGTCTAGAAAACCTACTTATGAACGAAGAAGCTAGTTTTTTCTCATACATTAGACTGTGTTGATTATATTCCTAATTATCAGGAAAATTATGGTAAACCGACAATGAATTGAATCGGCTTACAATAATTTA